GCACACAACAACAACAACAACAATCCTATCTCATCAGCCAAAAGTAGGCCCACACTTCTCATTGAAATACTAGTAAGTTCATCTTTGTTAAAATTGTTGTTCATTTTAATTATTGTATTGTTTTTAAGTGTCGTGTGCACTACAAATAAGATATGTGCAGTGTGCACAGGATTTTATTCATATATTTTTTTCAAATTATAATCCGGCCCTCCAACAATTTGAGGGACTGTGACCTGGCCCTCTGTTTTAAAAGTTTGAGGACCCCTGCTCTAGACCATGGCCATACAGCCCGAAAAAACCTACAACAACCCACTGTATATGAATGCTTTTCTGTCAAGCCACTTTGAGTTCCCTTTGGGGAGATAAAGCGGGGTATAAATAAATATAACAATAATAATAATCTCCTTCATCTTAGACAATCCCTCGTATTCCAAGGATGATGGTCCTCCAAGTGTAGCATCCTGGCGGTGGGTCCGTAGGTGACTGTGGAGCCCTATTCTTGATCTGCATCTTCTCCCACAATGAGGGCATCTGTTTCCAGGTAGAAGGCGGTCCCGGTTGGGGTTGGCTTGAGGGGCCTTCCTCCTGGCACATTTCCCTCTTTCGCCCTCCACTCATACCTCTTCAAATTCTGCAGCACTGCTGGTCACAGCTGACCTCCAACTGGAGCGCTCAAGGGCCAGGGCTTCCCAGTTCTCTGTCTATGCCAGAATTTTTAAGGTTGGCTTTGAGCCCGTCTTTAAATCTCTTTTCCTGTCCACCAACATTCCGTTTTCCGTTCTTGAGTTTGGAGTAGAGCAACTGCTTTGGGAGATGGTGGTCAGGCATCTGGACAACATGGCCAGTCCAGCGGAGTTGATGGCGGAGGACCATCGCTTCAATGCTGGTGGTTTTTGTTTCTTCCAGCACACTGACATTTGTCTGCTTGTCTTCCCAAGAGATTTCCAGGATTTTTCGGAGGCAGCGCTGATGGAATCGTTTCAGGAGTTGCATGTGACATCTGTAGACAGTCCATGTCTCGCAGGCATATAGCAGGGTTGGGAGGACAATAGCTTTCTAAACAAGCACCTTGGTATCCCTACGGATGTCCCGGTCCTCAAACACTGTACTTCATTCGGAAAAATGATGCACTCACAGAGCTCAGGTGGTGTTGAATTTCAGTGTCAATGTTGACTTTTGTGGAGAGGTGGCTGCCAAGATCGTGGAAATGGTCAACATTTTCTAATGTTACACCATTAACCTGTATTTCTGGCATTGGAGAGGGATTGGCTGGTGACTGATGGAAGAGCACTTTGGTTTTCTCAATGTTTAATGACGGTTGAGCTTCTTGTATGCTTCTGCAAAGGTGTTTAGAGTGGCTTGTAGGTCTTCTTCTGAATGCACACAGACGACGTCATCAGCATACTGGAGTTCTATAACAGATGTTGTTGTAACCTTGGTTTTGGCTTTCAGTCTGCTGAGGTTAAATAGCTTGCCATCTGTCCGATAGAAGATTTCCACTCCAGTGGGAAGCTTCCCATCAACAAGATGAAGTATCATAGCGATGAAGATGGAGAATAAGGTTGGGGCAATAACACATCCCTGTTTGACACCTGATTCCACCTTAAATGGGTCACTTTGGGGGCCACTGCTGTCCCAAGACTGTTGCCATCATGGAGGAGCCGCAGGATGTTCACAAATTAGTTAGGGCACCCGATTTTTTGGAGGATGGTCCAGAGAGCGCTGCGATTCACTGTGTCGAATGCCTTTGCAAGGTCGATGAATGCCATGTACAGTGGTTGATTTTGTTCCCTGCATTTTTCTTGGAGCTGTCGTGCAGTGAAGATCATGTCCACTGTTCCTCTGGAGGGGTGGAAGCCATTCTGGGATTCTGGGAGTGTGTCTTCTGAGAGGGGCAGAAGGTGGTTTGCAGGGATTCTTGCGAGGATTTTCCCAGCGGAGGTTAGAAGGGAGATACCTCGATCGTTTCCGCAGTCTGTTCTTTCCCCTTTTTTTGGAAGAGGGTGATGATGGTTGCTGTTCATTCGTTCAGTCGTCTCCGACTCTTCGTGACCTCATGGACCAGCCCACGCCAGAGCTCCCTNGTTGGTGTGTCAGCTCAGGTCCTCCCTCTTTAAAGATTTCAGCAGGGATCCCGTCTGGTCCACTGGCTTTGTAATTTTTCTGTTGGCTGATGGCATTGCTGACTTCTTCCAAACTGGGCAGTGCTGCAAGCTCATCCCTGGTTTGTTGTTGTGGGATTTGTGAGAGGACCTCTTCGGCCACATTGGAGCTGCGGTTCAGGAGGCTTTGGTAGTGTTCTTTCCAACGTAGTGCAATTGAGTTTTGGTCCTTCAGGAGTTTGGATCCATCTGATGAGCGTAGAGGCTGTATGCCATGGTTTCTTGGTCCGTAGATGACCTTTGTGGCCTTGAAAAATCCCTGAGCATTATGGGTATCTGCCAGGTGTTGGATTTCTTCGGCCTTCTTTGTCCACCAGATGTTCTTGAGTTCTCTTGGACCTTTGGACCTCAGCTTTTGCACTGGCATAGATCTTTTTCTTAGCTGCACAGTTGATGTCTCTCTGCCATGCTTGGAAGGCTTTCCTTTTCTTGTCAATTAGCTGTTGGATCTCGATGTCATTTTCATCAAACCAGTCTTGATGTTTCTTGGCTTGGTATCCAATAGTTTCTTCGCAGGCTTGGATGATGGAGGTCTTCAGTTTGTTCCAATGTTCCTCAACATTTTCGGGGTGTACTGTGGGTAGATGGTCCTTGAGTGCTGTTTGGAGATGGGCTTGTCTGGAGGGCTTCTGAAGGGCTTGGGTGTTCATTTTGCGCCTTGTCTTCCTTCCTTGGAGTCTGCGCTTGGGAAGGATCTTGATAGCCATCGAGGATCGAATTAGCCTGTGGTCAGTCCAGCAGTCGTCAGCACCTGTCATGGCTCTTGTGAGGAGCACGTCACGGCGGTCTCTGGCACGTGTGATTACATAGTCTAAGAGGTGCCAATGCTTTGACCGGGGGTGCTTCCATGATGTCTTGAACTTGTTTTTCTGGCGGAAGAGCGTGTTGGTGATGACAAGGTTGTGCTCCGCACATTTGGTGAGAAGCAGGATGCCATTTGAGTTGCTGTTTCCAACCCCGTCTTTTCCTATGGTCCCTGGCCACAGGTCGAAGTCTCGGCCGACTCTTGCCGTGAAGTCCCCCAGGAGGATGATTTTGTCCTCCTTAGGTATCCCCGATAGGACGGTGTCCAGCTGACAGTAGNNAAGGTTTTCCCAGGCTCAGGCAGGCCTTCAAATGCTAATGAAGGTGGTCAGTTGAAACATTCACACCTAGCTCTAGCAGAGAAGAGCTCTTTGCCCCACCCCAGCCATTCCACAGATATATAAACCCTTTGTCCTATTTCCAACAGACCTCACTACCTCTGAGGATGCTTGCCATAGATGCAGGCGAAACGTCAGGAGAAATGCCTCTAGAACATGGCCCTATAGCCCGAAAAACCCACAAGAACGTAGTGATTCCAGCCATGAAAGCCTTCGACAATACATTATTATTATTATTATTATTTCTTCTCCTTTTCCCTTTCAACTTTCCCCTTTCCTTTCCTTCTCTCCCGCCAGTTGAGGGCTTGGAGAGCCTCCTGTATGGCTCCCGCTCTCTTTCACACAGAGAAAGGCGAAGCCCCAAAGACGCACCGATAGCGGAGCCGACCTCGAGGGCGGGGTGGCGGGCGGCGAGGTGGGCGACGAGGGCGGGCACCAGGTGGCGGAGGAAGGGCGCCGGGCCCCGCTCGTTCCTGCGGAAGAGCTCGGGCCTGGGCTTCCGCTGGTAGTAATACTCCTGGAGCAGGACGTCGCAGGCGAGGGAGCGCAGCTGGGCCAGGTCGGGCTCTCCCTCGGCGGCCTCGCCTCCTCGCACGGCCTCGGGCAGCCCCGGCACGAAGGCGGTCTTGGTGAAGCTCTGGTACCAGCGGTCGGCGTGGAGGGCCCAGGTCTGCGGGTAGATCACGTACTTCATCCGCTGCCGCTTCCCATAGAGGCGCAGCTTCTCCTGGGCCGAGGGCGCGTCGTGGATCTCCTGGTAGTAGCGCTGGCGGCGCCGCAGCTTGGCCGCCTGGCTCTTCGCCGTCAGGGAAGCCACCACCGGCGGGTACAAGGAGGAGGAGGAGGCGGAGGCCTCGCCGTGAAGCGCTCGCCGGAGCTTGGCATCGCCCAACAAACGCCGGCTCCTGTAGGCCGCCATCTTGACCGCTCCGGCCGGAAAAGGAAACAGGCCGCGTCCGGGTGCGGCGAGGATTGCCATTGGCCGCGGGCGCCCACGTGACTCTCCAGGACCTCCTCCTCCTCCTACAGGAAACGTCAAGCCTTGAACGTCGGCCCACAGTGGAGGCTTCTGCGCATGCTCGTTAAGCTCTCTTGCTCGCACGTGTTCTTAAGCCAACATAGAGAAGCCAAAAGAAAGCAGTGAAAGCATTGATGATTATTAGCAAAGGTGGCACTTTCAGATTTTTTTTTGTGGACTTCCACACAGCCCTATTACCCAAAATATAAAGGCGGATAAGGCACAATCTGAGTCCACACAGCCATATAATCCAGTTCAATGCGGATTTTATACAGGGCCATAAATTTATGTATTATTATTTATTTCACAGTTTTCTATACCGAGCTTCTCAACCTCATTGAGGGACTCAGCCCGGTTTCCAGCCATAAAAAACATATACACTCATTAAAATATCATATATTACAATTACAAAAACAACTTTAAAAACACTATATATAAAACTACAGTGGTCAGTCGTCCTATTAAGATGGATCTACATCAACTTCCATCCAGGGTCCTATGGTGTTGTCTCATTCATCGAAGGCCTGACTCAATCCAGTCATGTCTGACTCTGGTGTGTGGTGCTCATCTCCATTTCTAAGCCGAAGAGCCAGCGTTGTCCGTAGACACCTCCAAGGTCATGTGGCCAGCATGACTGCATAGCGCGCCGTTACCTCCCTGCCGGAGCGGTACCTATTGATCTACTCACATTTGCATGTTTTCGAACTGCTAGGTTGGCAGAAGCTAGGGCTGACAGCAGAAGCTCACGCCGCTCCCTGGAATCGAACCTGCGACCTTTTGGTCAACAAGCCCACTGCGCCCCCCCCCCCCCTTATACAGGGCCATAGAGAGAAGCTAAAGAAAAGTTCTCATTGTAAAGTGAAAGCAGTGATTATTGCCACAGGTTGCCCCTTCAGGGATTTTTTTTGTGGACTTCCTCTCTCAGAATATCAAGGCACATAATCCACAATATCAACTTTGAACTGGATTATCTGAGTCCAAACTGCCATATAATCCTGTTCAAGGTGGATTTTATTACTTTACTTACTTTAGAGGGGACGTGGTTTTAAAAAGGGAATTTTCAGAGATGTTCCCAATGCCCATATGTCATGATTTACTGCCATATTGGCCTATTTCTGCAGTAGGCCTATGTTTACAGAAAATGTTGATTAATGAGAAATCAGTGCTCCAAAGAAGAAGTTACTATTCAAGAATAACAGTATATCTGGACAAATCTAGCTAGCTGATGGCTAGTTAGAATCCCCAAGTTTCCCAGTCGCTCTGGAGCCATGTTTGCAACAGACTAACAGATAAGATACAGTCATGGTCAGAGAACAATGGACTATAGTTATGTTATAATTGTGCCATTGTTAGGATCCCATGTGTGCTGTAATGTCGATCAAAATCATAAACAACAAATGAACAACTATATAGCTAACTTAGACCAATGAAATCATTTGTCTTTGGGAACTAATGAAAATGTATATTCCATTAACTATAAAAGCTCTGCAGCCCCATTGGGGGTTGCGACAAACCCTTTGATTGCTTGTTTGTCGTTATTGCTATGGCCACACAATAGTTTTTTGCAGTTTTAAAAGATTCAACTTTTGTGGTGTCCATCCTTGCCCTCCCCAATAGAAAGGGGGCTTCTGCATTTTTGGGAAATATTTTGGTTTCTTTGCCCCTACAGCTTAGGCGATTCCCTCATAGTCCAAGTAAAATTGTTCTCCAATTCAGTATACTGGCGGTGGGTATGTAGGTGACCATGGAGCCCTATTCTTGACCTGCATGTTCTGCCGCAGTGAGGGCATCGGGGTTGGCTTGGCGTGCCTTCCTCCATTCTGCATTGTGGGAGTTGAAGTCCAAAACACCTGGAGAGCCAAAGTTTGCCCATTCCTGATCTAGGGTATAATTAGTAGGAGCAACCACTAAGGAGGGTCTCTCTTGTGCACCCACCTAATATCCCTTGGGGGGCACATAAGACCCATAATCTACAAGGGCCCACTCCTGCTGAAATATAGCATCTACCTTGAGTGCTCTAACTGAAGGTCAGCTGTGACCAGTAGTGTTTCAGAATTTGAAGAATTACAAATGGAGGGCAAAAGGGTCCATCCAATCCTGACCAGGATCACCTTTCACCTGGAAACCAATGTCCTCACTGCGGGAGAACATGCGGATCAAGAATAGGGTTCCACAGCCACCTACGAACCCACCGCCAAGACACTACACCTGGAGGACCTACTTAGGCAATTCCTCATTTTCCGAGTAGGATTGTCTTCCAAGATCGGTGTACTGGCGGTGGGTCCGTAGGTGACTGTGGAGCCTTATTCTTGATCTGCATCATCTCCCGCAATGAGGGCATTCGTTTCCAGATGGAAGGCAGTGCCAGTCGGGGTTGGCTTGACGCGCCCATCTCTTGGCATGTTTCTCTCTTTTGCCCTCCATTCCTGCCTCTTCAATTTTTTCAGCACTGCTGGTCACAGCTGACCTCCAGATAGAGTGCTCAAAGGCCAGGGCTTCCCAGTTCTCGGTGTCTATGCTACAGTTTTTAAGGTTGGCTTTGAGCCCATCTTTAAATCTCTTTTCCTGTCCTCCAACTTTCCATTTTCTGTTTTTGAGTTCAGAGTAGAGCAACTGCTTTGGGAGACGGTGGTCGGGCATTCAGACAACGTGGCCGGTCCAGTGGAGTTGATGGCAGAGGACCATCGCTTCAATGCTGGTGGTTTTTGTTTTTATACAGCTATGTGGAAGCAGCCATAGAGAGAGAAACCAAAGGAAAGAGCTCATTGTAAAGAGAAAGCAGTGATGATTATTACCAAAGGCTGCGTCCTCAGGGTATGTTTTGTGGGCTTCCTCTCTCAGGGCCCTTCCACACAGCCATATAACCCAGAATACCAAGGCACACAATCCGCAATATCTCCTTTGAACTGAATTATCTGAGTCCACACTGCCATTTAATCCAGTTCAATGTGGATTTTATACAGCTGTGTAGAAGCGGCCATACAGAAAAGCCAAAGGAAAGAGCTCATTGTAAATTGAAAGCAGTGATTATTACCAAAGGATGTGCCTTCAGGGATTTTGTTTTGTTTTCTTTACACCCCACCTTCCTCTCCGAGGAGACACAAGGCTGCTAACAACCACACACTTAGGGTTGCTGTGAGTTTTCCGAGCTGTGTGGCAATGTTCCAGAAGCATTCTCTCCTGATATTTCATCCACATCTATGGCAGGCATCCTCAGAGGTTGAGGCGTCTAGGCAAGTGAGGTTTACATATCTGTGTCCAGCGTGGGAGAAATAACTCTTGTCTTCTTGAGGCAAGTGTGAATGTTGCAATTGATTAGCATTTAATGGCCCTGCAGCTTCAAAGCTTGGCTTATTACTGCCTGGGGGAATCCTTTTTTGGGAGGTGGTAGATCATAGAATCATAGAATCAAAGAGTTGGAAGAGACCTCATGGGCCATCCAGTCCAACCCCCTGCCAAGAAGCAGGAATATTGCATTCAAATCACCCCTGACAGATGGCCAACCAGCCTCTGTTTAAAAGCTTCCAAAGAAGGAGCCTCCACCACACTCCGGGGCAGAGAGTTCCACTGCTGAACGGCTCTCACAGTCAGGAAAATGGCTCTGATTGATTCTTGTCTGGAATTCCCCTGTTTTTTGCGTGTTGGCTGACTTCTCTGGTTGAATTAGTCTGCAGTGACTTTCACGTTCCATAGCAGAGCACATGATGAACCAACCTGGACACAGCATATTATTTGAGAGCACAGAAATGCTGGACCACTCCAACAACAACCATGCCAGACTACACTGGGAAGCTATTGAAATCCACAAGCATTATTTATTTACAGTATTTCTATACCACTTTTCTCATCCCTAGGGGGACTCATGTGGACAATTTGAACAGAAAGCATGTGGACAACTTGAACAAAAAGGGGAAAACCATGAAAATAAACAAATCTGGCTACCAGGATTTAAAAAACAAACCAGGACAATAAATAAAGAGCAACACTCAAAAAGTAGGGGAATTCCAGACAAGAATCAATCAGGACCAGCTAACACCTACCAACAAAGGATTCCCCCAGGCAGCAATTAGCCAGGGTTTGAAAATAAAACAAATGCTAATCAAGGTGGCCAACTGCAACATTCACGGAGCCAGTGCTGTTTGTGAGCAGCAACTCTCCTCTCAGGCCTGAGCATCTTTGACGAGTGGCTGACATTACTGCTGACATAATAGCTTGCAGCATGGGGATGAAGCGGTTCAGTTCTTGTCGTGGATGCTGCATGGGAGTTCATATGGCTCCAGTGCAGTAGCTATAGAAAGGTAAGAAAAGTAAAGGATGTCCACTTTGCACATGCTCAGAGGCATCCCCAAACACTCGCCCATCATATCTCTGCATCCACCCCTATTGATCTGAAGAGGGTCTGAGGATCTGTAAAATCAGTGCCTCATACCCACTTCAAAGATACAATTTGAAGCACTGATGCTGCCACTACCTCGAAAACTGGAGGCAAAAGGCTTCCATTTTTGAAGGTTTTTGGTTGTTTGATAAGGGAGGCTCAACCTGTCTCTGCTCAAAAGTGGTTTTCCAAGATGAAATCCATGTGGAATTCTGAAAGCGGTGCTAGACAGACTTCTAAGCATCAAATCATGGCTCAAGGAGGCTACGGAGGGGTTTGCAGCATGGAGGGGGCTCAGACAGGGTTTTGAAGCTGATGCTGACAGCATATTGAGCTTTGAGCTGATAAAGGCAAAGTTCAATATTTGAAGAATACCTACGTTTGTATACCTTAGTTTGGGGAGCTTGAACAATAGAATATTATAATTTATTTTTCTACTATGTTCAATAAACCCATTTTTGTTTTATTCATGTCTGGCTCTCTAATGAACCTGAATTTGGCTGCACATATCAAATTAGCAATCTACTAAACAATACAGGCACAAGTCCACATTTAG